ATTAAAGTCAGAATTCTGACTTTTTTCCCATACTATACTGAAATAAAATAAAAAAATCAGTTAACTTTTGTTTGTTTTTTGCCAGTGGCCCTAATCCTCTTCCGTATCTATGGAAGAGGATTAGGGCCACTGAAAAAAAAAAAAATAATTTACAAATTTTTTAATTTTATTTCAGTTTAACATGGGATAAAAGTCAGGATTCTTGCTTTTTTCTCAGAATTCTGACTTTTTTATTGTCAGAATTCAGTCAGAATTCTGACATTAAAGTCAGAATTCTGACTATTTTCCCATACTAAACTGAAATAAAATGTAAAAATCAGTTAACTTTTTTTTTTTCCCACTGGCCCTAATCCTCTTCCGTAATTTTCTCATTAATTTCAAACAAACAAAACATTATGCATAGTATTTTTGTCATTTTTTATTATCTGTTTCTTTTAAAAAAAAAAAAAAAAAGAATGGATAAATCTTCAAAAGGATGTTCATATTTTTCACCTTTATATATAAAAAAAGAAGTACCTTAATTGTCACTCTGGAAAAAAAAGCCTGCTTAAAATCAATTTTTTTTTACTTAAAAAAAAATAAAAATTGGTGCTGTATAATTTTTTGCAATCGTTATTAACGAGGGATCCTGTGTTAGAGGCAGAAATTTAATTTCTGAATTGTTGGGGATTGAATGTTTGCTCCTCAGCTATTCAGATGATGGGAAATAAACAGAAATCTAAATCTGGAGAAGAATGTCTCCTTGTGACAGGGACGAGGTGGCTGTAAGCGAGACCCAGGGTCTGTTTCACGCCCAAAAGGCTTGTGGTTTAAATTACACTGCAATTAATTTAAAAAATATATAGAATTCAAATCAGAAGTAGTCACTGTATAGCCATTTCATTAGGCCTATACTACTTATTTGTCCGATCCCATAAAAACATCTTATTTGTCAGTATATCTATCGTCTGGCAGTTGATTAAGTTCCATAAACGAAGCACCTCAAACTGCCTGTTTAGCAATGTACTTATAAATGCCTAAAAAACACCTGACTGCTTTATTTTGAAGGGCATGTATAAGTCTTTATAAGTAATTAATCTGCATAATCAATTTAAATTAAACCCACTCTGACTGACCAGAAAACGGCACACAATTTTTTATTTCAGTAGAAAACACATCAGGAGAGTCAGCGTTCAAATTTAAGACAGTTTTAAAATAAACTGTGTCTTTAAAGTGTCTGCTTTAAAGACGTGTGGTTCCGGATACCCTGATCTATCTCTATTGTTATGCTGCTCTGGGCTTAGGCTGCTGGAGGACAGAGGGACTACTTTTCATCATTCTACTTAATTCTTTCTCTTTCGTACGAATCTGCATTATTTGTTGGTTTAACCCCTAACTTTATGTTATTTCTTTCTATTACCTGAAAACAACAACTTATAAGTTGAGTAACTCACCTACGATGTTTGTGTGTGTGCTGCTTTCCTTATGGTTTTTATTTTTTATTTGAGTTCTAACACTGACATCTATTATGTTTATAATCCTTCCTGTTAATCCATAAGTAGGCCATCGATAGTCAAAGCCGAAGACTCTATGCACGATGGAGCAGATGGAGCATCAATGTGCAGGACTAGATTTATTGTTGTATACATGCGTTTACAAAATGACAATAAAGTCTGTCTAAGTCTAGGTCTAAGTCTAGGATTAGATTGGAAATAGGTCTGTTCATAGAATAATATTACTGTCATTTATAATTACATAGACATGTTGTTTTAGAAAAACAGATGGTTTTAAACTGCTAATACAGTGTTTATACATAAAATCACGGTTGTATATGATGAAATAAATGACAATAAAAGTTTTCTAAGTCTAAATAAAAACCTCTCTAAACTATCTGCCCGGCTGAATTAGAACCTCCAGCCTCCTCCTGAACTTTAGCCGTCATTCTGCGAAAACAACCTGCTAAGAATCTCCAGTTGTTTTATTATGACAATAAATGTTTCTGTATAATCTTTGGCCAGATTTAGTAATACACTGTTATGTTAGGTCCAAAGAGTACGGAAGAGGATTAGGGCCACTAAAAGAAAAAAAAAAATTGTTAATTGATTTTTTAATTTTTATTTCAGTTTAACATCTCAGAATTCTGACTTTAATCCCAGAATTCTGATTTTTTTTCTCAGAATTCTGACTTTTTTCTCAGAATTCTGACT